ATTGGGCTTCTGGTGGCCCAGGGACAGCATCAGAGAAAACAAAAGAATCGCAGCTGCAGGGAGCTAGGACCTGAGCTCCACAGCCTTGATCTTCTGAGTAATTTGTCCTTGTCAGAAATACAAGGCCTAGCCTCTGCTTAGTGACCATTGGTTGCTTAACAGTGTTCAGAAACTACTCTGTCCTTTACTCATTTCATCCCAGTTAAGACTCTGGGCCTCAGAGATGGGCTCTGCCAGTGCGGCAAAAGCTTGACCAAGAAGCCCTCAGTGCCTCTCAGAGGGGCACCCTGAGCATTTCCAGCAAGCCCCATGCCACTGCAGACCAAGTGTCCAGCCTGGAAGGATCAGTGAGGAACATTGTTCTCAGATGAGGTGTTTTATTATTATTACTTTAGTAAAAAGATGGTCTTTAAATTTACTTCTCTAGAAGGTTCCTAGGTTCCTATGTCAGTTGCTTCCTAGAGTCCCTTGAGACTTGTACCTTGTGGTTGGTGGCTTTTTCTGTGACCCTCAGGTGTGGGGTAAGGTATGAACTTTTGCTAGGAAGGAGTCTTGGGTCAAAACTAACTTTGGGGTAAGTAAGCCAGGAAGGCATGAGTGTTGTTGAACTCAGCCAGAGTCAAGCACTTGCCTGAAAATCCTTATCATCATCTGCCGAGGGGCAGTCATTTCTCCAACATAAGCTGTCACCTCACCCTTGCAGCCATCCGTTCTTTCCACTCATCACCCCCCAGCTACCTCTGCACTGTTAATGAAATCACTGCATTTTGCGTGGACTGTATCATGCTACCACCACCTGTCCTTCTGACGCATGCTGCAAGCAATCTCTTCCAGGCCCAAGTCCCCTGTGTTCATGTTAAGGGACTTGGCACTGAAGAGTCTCCCAAGCAACAATGCCAGTCCAAGGACTCTTGGATTGAGCTTCTTCCCTTATGGGTGGGTTGAAGAGAATGATAAAATGTGTTGCAGCAGTTATATCTTGACTCCACTGTGGTTGAGTGCTTGTGTGTGTGTGTGTGTGTGTGTGTGTTCTTTCGAAGCAGAGTGATGAGCAGGCATGGTGGTGATTCTCCCCCTGTTCAGTTGCAGGCCCAGAGCATACTGTCTGGCCGATAGCGATGAGGAATCTTCCAGCGCTGGCTCCTCTGACGAAGATGATGCCCCAGAGCCCAGTGGGGGAGAAAAACAGCTCCTCCCGGGGAGTGAAGGGTGAGTGGGTCAGAGCGTCTGGGGTCCCCAGGAGGCCAGGGCAGCAAGTTGGAAGTGAGACTTTTTTCTCCCTTGTCCTTCCTCCTTCACACTGAGTGAATATTTTTTGTACTAATACCAAGTGTCAGCAGCTTATTTAAATTCTTGTCCCCAAAGCAAAAAGACCTGTATAACTTCCCTTGCTTAAGAAGGTCCCAACCAAAGTGGCTTTCTCCTGCCCTTTGAGTAAATAATAGAGAAGACGAAAGGCACGTTTATTATGAGCACATCCGGGTCTTCACAGGAGCACAGTTTACCCAACACCTCCCCCTGGTGGTCGGCCGGGAGCATTACTCCCCTTCAGCCAGGTGGCACTGGCTTTTGCTGCGCTGCTAGTTCCTACAAAGCTGAGACATTCAGATGATTTCTTTTGTCAATTTCGACAACATATGGGTCATGAACTTCATTTGGGGGGCTCCCTTTGCCGGTGACTTAGACTGTAGAATGACCAAAGTACTTAAACAGCCTCTCTGTAAAGATCTCTAAGTATTTAAAGTGAGTTGAAGAGACTATGATTATAAAGAAGCTAGGTGATTCAGAAGTTTTATAAGAAAATATCAGCCTGTTCACTTTGGAGATTCACAGAAGATGAAAAGAGAATCCAGACGTTTGAGGAGTTCGTGCTAAAGTTTGAATGCATTATTGAAAATCTAGCTGCTTGACCTTCTTAAGAATGATTACTTTTCCCCACAGACATACTATTCCTGACACTCTGGAACTGGAGAATTCTAAAAAGCAAATATCTTCTTAGGGCAGTTTTATGGTAGATATGACCTGATAACAAAAACTCACTGATTGGTCCGTTAGCACATCAGCTTGATGTAGCATTTTTCTTTAAAAGTTCTTAAGTCCTTTGAAAAGTAGTCGCCACTCAGAGTCGGTGTGGCATCAACTAAAAGACAGTCAGTTAATCACTATTTTGTGTACCTGTTAGTGGCAGCATGATTTAGTATTTGCTGGGTGGTGACGGTGAGCTATTTCCCTAATAGGACAGTGTTTGAGTGCTGTAAAGGGACGTGGGTGAAAAGCCTTCTCTGTCTGCAACCTGAGGACTTTGTCCAACTCTCCATTGTCAAGACTTGGCTCTGTCTGACATTTACACTTTTTCCAAGGTAGCGGTCCACAATGTCTGAAGATATTTTTGATTGTCATGACTGGGGGATGCTATTGACAGGTAGTAGATAGAGGCCAGGGGTGCTGCTAAATGTCCTACAGTGCACAGGACAGCCTATGCAACCAAGAATTACTGAGGTGTCATTAGTACTGTGGTTGACAAACTCTAGCCTAGCGTAAAAAAGCCACAAGGTTTTTGTTTGAGAAGGAGCAAAATTTACACTAATGATCTGTGTTCTTCATTTGAAGGTATGTTGGAGGTCATCGAACAAGTAAGATTATGAGATTTGTAGATAAAATAACCAAGTCAAAATATTTCCAAAAAGCAACAGAGACAGAATTCATCAAAAAGAAGATTGAAGAAGTTTCCAACACACCCCTGCTGCTAACTGTTGAAGTGCAAGAATGTAAAGGAACCTTGGCGGTCAACATTCCACCACCCCCAACTGACCGGATCTGGTGCGTAGTGGGGCCCTCAGGGACGGCAAATGATTCCCCTTGTTGAGTGACTATAAAAGTCCCAGCCTGCTTAACCTTGAGATTATGGAAAGTACCTTTTCCTGGGCCTTTCAAACATTTTTCATGAAACCTTAAATGTTAGTTATAAATCTGATTCTGCTTCCTTCCATGAGTGGCTAATTCACATTTAAAGGTTCATCTCGTTAGGGAACGTTCAGGTCAGTACATAAAGTTTGTGGGATAAGCTCTTTCTATTCTTGGTCTTCCTCCTCTCTAAAGCCAACTCTTCCATCAGTAGTACCAGCTGCTATTGGTAGGGCCCTTGTTCTCTGCCTGGCCTGGATTGTAATTGCATCACCTGGTCAGACCTCACAGCAACCCTGTAATATAGGTGCAGTTCTCATAGCAACCCCTCTTTACAGGTGTTGATGACCCATGCAGGCTTAGGGAAGACTTCCCTGAGTAAGACCTGGATGTTGAGGAGGCAGGAGCATGTCTGCTCAGTAATTATGATAGGAAGTATAGCCAAGGAGCTGTCATGTGATGAAGCAGTGGTTCTCAGCCCCAGCTGCACATCAGAATCACCTGGAACTTGTTAAAAATCAGATATGCCTGGTCCATCCTCCAGGAATCAGGGGTGGTGGAACTAAGCCAGGGTTGAGAATCACTGAAATCACTTATTCATGGGTCCAACAGAAGAAAATCACTAACTGTGGATTTCAGTTTAAAATTTACTTTCCAAGTCCTGTAAATGGGCATAAGTGCATACAGCAATTGCGTAAGAGACCTCATTGCAGTCATGGGAATACAGCCCTGCTCCGTCGTTCAGTGTCCTTGGTGTTTCAGAAGCGTTTGGAGGAATGATCCGACGAAGATTTTTGAATCGACTAACCATCTGATGATGGTGGTGGTGGTTCCCAGTAAAAACAAAAATAAAATCACCTTTTCAGATTTTATTAAAAAAAATATTTTCATTGTAAAAAAGAAAGATTGCCAACAACAAAAAAGATTTAACAAAAGTAATCGTGCCATCCATAAATATCTAATGTTAATGCCTTCATGTATAGTCTTCCAAACCTAAAAAAAAAGTTTGTTTTTTTTTAAATAGGAAGGGTTGATCCAACATTCCTTCCCTTTACTTCTAAGTTTTGAATTCTTAGTAACATTGAAAGGCCTCTAGGATAGCTATGCTGAACTTTTGCACTGCGCAACAAAAAAATAACTATAGGTATTAAGAGTGTTTAGAAACTTGTATTGCATTTTGACATTTTTATTGTATTTTACAAAAATAGTCATCTGTGAAAGACTGAAGTTTTTAGGTAGTTGGAAAGCACACACTGTCTTGTCTGAATGCTCACAGTCCTGAGTGCCAACCCGCTCCATTGGGAAGGCGTAAAATATGTGGCTGAACAGCAGGTTACAGAACATTATCTATTTACACGTTTTTATTACAAGTAGAAACTGAGCCCACTTCTCTGCGGTCCTGTCTTGGGGTGAGATCTGACAGTGGCAGTGTCTTTTTCTTTCTGCTTTATATGCTTGCATAGCTTATTTTTGCAGCACACATGTGCTAAGCCAACCAGACAAACCCATTGCTGTCCAGGTGATTCCGACTCATAGCAAACCTATAGAACAGAGTAGAACTGCCCCATAGGGCTTCCAAGGCAGTAAATCTTTACAGAAGCAGACTGCCACATCTTTCTCCTGAGGAGTGGCTGCTGGGTTCGAACTGCCAAACTTTCAGTTAGTAGCTGAGTGCTTAACCAGTGCACCACCAGGCCTCCTTTTCACACATATGTTACTTATATAAAAATAGGGAAAAAAGGAGATTGCTATTTTAGGAAAAACAAAAACCAAAAAACAATGACCAGGTCATGGACTTTTCTAGTGGTGCTTTCCTGGCTGTCCCAGTTTGCCAGACCTGTTCCCAAATCCATCACAGCCCTGAACATATCCAGGGACCACAGGGAGCTCACACTTGCCATGTGGAATTATTTTTAGAGGAGATTTTTCAGAACAAGAGAACATTTTAAATCGTGATAAAACTCTACATAAATGAGGAATGTTTGCTGTGAGTACTTGGCTACTTCCTTTCTTTGCTTCTAAAAGTGGTTGTGTTTATTATTTGTCTTCTTCAAAAAGGTATGGTTTCCGGAAGCCGCCATATGTGGAGCTAAAAGCTCGGCCAAAACTTGGAGAGAGAGAAGTGACCTTAGTTCATGTGACAGACTGGATAGAGAAGAAACTGGAGCAGGAGTTTCAGGTAAACCTGTTGTGTTGTCTAGTGTTTCACAGAGTAGAAAAGCTTCTGGGCAAACAGGTGCTGAACTTCATTTGAGTCAGGATCTTCTTTTGAGAATCCAAGGGACCTTCTATCTAGAAAAGTGCACATATGGCCAAACATACAAATAAAATTTTAAATACAGCTTCAAAAGCTCTGAAACTCATCTACAGAACCCTGTTGAGTAGTTTTCAGAGGAAAACTAAAAGGTGTGGATCAAAGAGCAAAATGAAGAATGTCATATACCAGTTCTCAATAAGACCTTTTGAAGCAAAGTAAACCCTTCCACCTGCTAGGGTTCTCTTTGGACAGTGTGTTTCCCAGTATGGGGCCAGGAATTTGTGAGCTAGTAGCAGCCAGCCTGTAGTCAGGGAAGTTGCTCTCTGTCCTTAATGTACCGACCTTGCTCACTTGTTTCAGTTCAGCAAACATTCATTGAAGCCCTTCTGTGTGCCAGGTACCACCTACCTTGAGAGTCCAAAGATGAATCAGGCCTGGTCCCTCTCCTGAGTAGCTTATAATGTAGAGCTCATTCTCCAAGCCTGTTTCACTGTTTTCTGCATTCTGCCACCCAAGCTACTAGCAATGTAGCCGAGGCCCTGAGATGAGCTATTTCCATCAAATAATGATTTTTATCAGATATTTGAGGCACAGTTATCTTTCAAGGAGGTTTTTATAGGTTAGCAAACTACTTACTCTGTAATAAATTTCACTTTTTGAAGAAGATCCACATTATTTTTGCAGTGGTAGATTTTGGGTTATTTCCTTTAGAAAGTAATATTATTTAAAAGCTAGAGATTAAACATAGCTGATTATCAATTTCTGAAAAGTTAATAATCACCAAATGGAAAAGCACTTTCAACCTAGGTAGGAGAAAGCCCCATGCTGTCAATTACTTCCTTTCTTATCTCCCTAGATCCCACATTAGGATTTTGGGTGGATCATCCCTTTTACATCATCATCTGACAGTTTGTCATACTGTGGTGGCTTGCGTGTTGTTAAGATGCTGGAAGATATGCCACCGGTATTTCAAATACCAGCAGGGTCACTGTCTTAGGCTGGGTTCTCTAGAGAAGCAAAACCAGTAAAGCACATAAACATAGATAGAGAGAGATTTATATCAAGGAAACGGCTCACACTATTGTAGAGGCTGGAATGTCCCAATTCTTCTCAGGATAGAGGCTTCTCTCAATTTACGTAGCCGCAGTGGCTGGCGAACCCAAGCTTAGCAGGTCAGAGAGCCAGGGCTCTTGCTCACAGGCTGTGAAGATTGACAGTTCCCAAGATTGGCAGATAAGCTGAGAGCTCAAGTCCCAAGAACCAGAGGTCAGATGAACAGGAGACAGCCGCAGGATCCAGATGGAGCAAAAAAGCCAGAACGTCTGCTTATATTCACATGCAGGCCACACCCCCAAGGAAACTCCCTTTCAACTGATTGGTTACTCACAGCAGATTCCATCATGGGAGTGATCACATATAAACACTGAGAATCATGGCCCAGCCAAGTTGACACACAGTCTTAACCATCACAGTCACCTACGGTGGACAAGTTTCCGTGGAGCTTCCAGAATATGACAGACTAGGAAGAAGGACCTAGCAGTCTACTTCTGAAAAAATTGGCCAGTGAAAACCTTAATAGCAGCAGAACATTGTCTGATATAGTGCCAGAAGATGAGCCCCTGAGGTTGGAAGGCACTCAGAATACCACTGGGGAAGAGCTGCCTCCTCAAAGTAGAGTTGACCTTAATGACATGGATGGAATAAAGCTTTTGGGACCTTCATTTGCCAGTGTGGCACAAATCAAAATGAGAAACAGCTGCAAATATCCATTAACAATCAGAACGTGGGATATATGAAGTATGAATCTAGGAATATTGGAAGTTGTCAAAAATGAAATGGAACGCTTGAAGATCAGTGTCCTAGACATTAGTGAGCTGAAATGGACTGGTATGGCCCATCTTGAATTGGACAGTCATATGGTCTACTATGCCAGGAATGACAAATTGAAGAGGAATGGCATCATGTTCATTGTTAAAAAGAACAGGATCTATCCTGAAGTACGACACTGTCAGTGATAGGATAATATCCATGCACCTACAAGGAAGACCAGTTAATACAACTATTATTCAAATTTACACACCAATCACTAATGCCAAAGATGCAGAAATTGAAGATTTTTACCAACTTCTGCAGTCTGAAATTGATCAAACATGCAGTCAAGATGCATTGATAATTACTGGTGATCGGAATGCAAATGTTGGAAACGAAGAAGGACTAGTAGCTGGAAAGTATGGCCTTGGTGATAGAAATGACACCAGAGATCGCATGATAGAATTTTGCAAGACCAATGACCTATTTGTTGGAAATACCTTTTTTCAACAACATAAACAGCGACTATACATGGACCTCATCAAATGGAATACACAGGAATCAAATCAACTACATCTGTAGAAAGAGATAATAGAGAAGCTCAACATCATCAACAGGAACAAGACCAGGGGCCAACTGCAGAACAGACCATCAGTTGCTCATATGTAAGTTCAAGTTGAAGCTGAAGAAAATTAGAACAAGTCCACAAGAGCCAAAGTATGACCTTGAGTATGTCCCACCTGAATTTAGAGACCATCTCAAGAATAGATTTCATGCATTGAACACTAATGGCTGAAGACCAGAATAGTTGTGGGATGACATTAAGGATATCATACATGAAGAAAGCAAAAGGTTATTAAAAAGATAGAAAAGAAAGAAAAGACCAAAATGGATGTCAGAAGAGATTCTGAAAGTTGCTCTTGAACGTAGAGTAGCTAAAGGAAATGGAAGAAATGATGAAATAAAAAAGCTGAACAGATTTCAAGGGGCGGCTCGAGAAGACAAATTATTATAATGAAATGTGCAAAGACCTGGAGTTAGAAAACCCAAAGGAAAGAATACCTTAGCATTTCTCAAGCTGAAAGAACTGAAGGAAAAATTTCAAGCCTCAAGTTGCAATATTGAAGGATTCCGTAGGCAAAATATTGAACAACACAGGAAGCATCAATAGAAGATGGAAGGAACATACAGAGTTGTTGTACCAAAAAGATTTGGTTGATGTTCGACCATTTCAGGAGGTAGTATATGATGAAGAACCAATGGTATTGAAAAAAGAAATTCAAGCTGCACTGAAGGCATTGGTGAAAAACCAGTCTCCAGGAATTGACAGGATACCAATTGATATGTTTTAACAAACGGATGCAACACTGAAGCGCCCACACATCTATGCCAAGAAATTTGGAAGACAGCTACCTGGCCAACCAACTGGAAGAGATCCATATTCATGCCCGTTCCAAAGAAATGTGATCCAATGGAATGCAGAAATCATCAAACAATATCATTAATAACACATGCAAGTAAAATTTTGCTGATGATACTTCAAAAACGGTTGCAGCAATACATCGACAGGGACTACCAGAAATTCAAGCTGGATTCAGAAGAGGACATGGAACAAGGGATATCATTTCTGGTGTCAGATGGATCTTGGCTGAAAGCAGAGAATACCAGAAAGATGTTTAACCTGTGTTTTATTGACTATGCAAAGGCATTCGACTGTGTGGATCATAACAAATTGTGGATAACATTGCGAAAAATGGGAATTCCAGAAAACTTAATTGTGCTCCTGAAGAACCTGTACACAGACCAGGAGGTAGTCATTCGAACAGAACAAGGGGATAGGATACTACGTGGTCTAAAATCAGGAAAGTTTGTGTCAGGGTGGTATCCTTTCACCATACTATTCAATCTGTATGCTGAGCAAATAATTCGAGAAGCTGGACTATATGAAGACTAACACAGCATCAGGATTGGAGGAAGACTCATTAACAACCTGCGATATGCAGATGATACAACCTTGCTTGCTGAAAGCGAAGAGGACTTGAAGCACTTACTAATGAAGATCAAAGACTGCAGCCTTCAGTATGGATTACACCTCACTGTAAAGCAAATAAAAAATCCTCACAACTGGACCAACAAACAACATCATGATAAACAGAGAAAAGATTAAATTTTGTGAAGGATTTCATTTTACTTGGATCCACAATCAACACCCATGGAGGCAGCAGTCAAGAAATCAAACGATGTATTGCATTGGGCAAATCTGCTACAAAAGACCTCTTCAAAGTGTTAAAAAGCAAAGATGTCATTTTGAGGACTAAGGTGCACCTGACTGAAGCCATGGTATTTTCAGTCGCCTCATATGTATGCAAAAGCTGGACAATGAATAAGGAAGACTGAAGAAGAATTGATGCCTTTGAATTATGGTGTTGGTGAAGAATACTGAATATACCATGGACTGCCAGGAGAACGAACAAATCTGTCCTGGAGGAGGTACAGCCAGAATGCGCCTTAGAAGCAAGGATGGCGAGACTTTGTCTTAAGTACTTTGGGCATGTTATCAGAAGGGACCAGTCCCTGGAGAAGGACATCATGCTTGGTAAAGTAGAGGGTCAGTGAAAAAGAAGATGACCCTCAATGAGATGGACTGACACAGTGGCTGCAACAATGTGATGATGGCACAGGACTGGGCAGTGTTTCCTTCTGTTGTACCTAGGGTCACTGTGAGTTGGAACCGACTCAGTGACACCTAACAACATTCCACTTAGGAGTGTCGGGTATAAGGAGAAAAAGAAGAGGAAGCAGAGATTGTTGTTGTTGCTGAAGTCGTTGGTCTTGCAAAATTCTATCATGGGATCTCCAGCGTCATTTCTGCCACCAAGGCCATATTTTCCAACTGCTGTTCCTTCTTTTTTTCCAACTTTCAAATTCCAATCACCAGCAATTATCAGTGCATCTTGATTGCATGTTTGATCAGTGTCAGACTGCAGAAATTGGAGCAGATTCGTGCCTGGTATTTCTGAGGCAAGTTAGGAAGCTGAAGGATAACTGCTGCCTCCCTCCTACAGCAACTTGCTTGTCTTTGTTTATGCTTTTGTAAGAGAGCAGTACTGAAGATTGAGTGCATTGCCAAAATTCACTTGTATAAAATCAGTTTGTGAACAGAGGCAAAGCACCGTTGCTGTCAATCAATGATTATCCTTCGATTGTTGGCTATAGTGAGATTTCTTTCAGACAGCTTGTGTGGTTCTGGTTTAAAAAAAGTTAGCTTACATTTTGATGCTAGGAGCGAAATGGATAAATTCACTTGTGTTCTGGACATAGTAATTTGGAAATGCTGTGAGTCGCTTAAGCCCGTTCTCTTAATGTTGTTAAATATTTATCAATTCATATGAGTAGGTTTGTTACGTGTGCATGAGATCAAAGGCTGCTTCTGCCTCAGGGCTGATTTATTGAGTTCTTCTGCTCATGTATTGAAATGGTGATTCTGCATCTCTTTCTAAATTAAGAGAAGAAAAAATACGTTAGGGGAATTAGTTTGGAACATCTTGGAAAACTGTTTCATACCATTTTTAAAAATTCATCTAAAGCCTAACATTAGTAATAGAACAGAGAGCAACATCCTGAGAAAACATTCTTCCCTGGCTGTTCTTTTTCTTTCTACAGAAAGTTTTTGTCATGCCAAACATGGACGATGTTTATATCCCTATAATGCACTCAGCCATGGACCCACGCTCCACTTCCTGCCTCCTGAAAGACCCAGTTGTGGAGGCTGCTGATCAGCTGTGATGGGTGAGATCCAGGCTCCCAGTGTGAGGTTCTTGACTGCCAGCTGTGCCTCCCGGTGTGAGGTTCTTGGCTGCCAGGTGTGCCGTAGCGCTGGCCTTCACTCGTGCCACAGCTGCTGTTTTTCAAAGAACTGCTTCTGCCCTCTGCCTGCCAGCGCCCATTCCACTGTGAGGTGTCATTCCACGCATCCAGTGACAGGTGTCTGGATTGCCTGCTGCAAAGCTTTGACTCTGGGCAAAGGAGACTGCAGAAGTATCACCACAGGTTACAGAAGTTACGGCTGACTCACACCGTGGCTTTTTTAAGTCTACCAGTTTTTGTGGCAGCAAAAGAGCACATTAAGAGCAAAGCTGTCCAACTGGAAGGCTTCTCCTTGCCTTCTCGACTCCTCCGAAGCTTTTCCTCAGGCGGCCAGTGCACAACTGAACTTTTTTTTTTTTTTTCACTTCTACGGTTAATATGTGCAACTGCAGCCCTTCACACTTCCAGAGAATGTCAGTGTGGTGATGCGTGTGGTAGTGGGGAATGAAATCTCATGAGCCATTTCATTGGTGGTAAAGAGATATGCCTAGCAACTTACTTTTTTTCATATTGTGCATTTTGGAAGCAAGTAGCCATAGAACATACACGCACGGTAACACTATCAGCTGGGGTGGAGATGGTGGAGTTGATGTGAACGTTAGGCAAAGCCGTGTGATCAAACCATCCTAAGCCTTTTACCAGTGAGGTACAATCACTTGGTTTGTAACTAATCCTGAATGTTCTCCTGAGACATGAGCATACATGAAAATGCCACTCTACACAATGACCGATTGTCCCTCATAAAGACGGGGTGGGGCGAGAAAGCAAGTCTTTCCATCTGGCATTTCCTGTCAGCTCCTGGATATTTCATATAGGAATCCAAATGCTTTGTTATCTAATTAGTTTGGGATAGTTTTGTGGGCAGTTTCCTTTTCCGATGGCCAAAATGGAGAACTGCTCTTTAATTATGAGAGTCAAGACCAAAAGTTTGCTCAACATCAAAACACTACATGTCTCAAAACCTAATATGACCTTAATGTGGCCAAGCTGATTTTGTGCATTTGTGTCCGAATGTTTAGTTTACAAGTTTGGGGGCTCCCTCTAATTGTATAATTTGCTTTGAGAAGTAAACAATTTTTTTTATTATTTAAAACTGCATTTGACGTCAAAATTACCTTGAGTAACTTTTGATAATTTACATCTGTGGACAAAGCCAATAGTGGTTTTTTAAATAGCACCTTGCCTGAACATGACTTTAAAGAAATTAATATATTGAGAAAATATATTTGAAACCTTACTGGATTATTTTCATTGCACCATTAAAACATTTGACTTAAAATTATCTGACCATTCCAGTCTGTGTACTATTCTCATTTCTCATTGTGTAGCCTGATTTACCTGTCAGGAGTCCACGTGTCTTATTCAGTGGTCTTTTATGATTTAATCTTTGTGCAATAACTAAAGGCAAAGGACTAGACGCACTACCGTGTAGAGATTACATGACTGTACCCTGTTGCACTTAATCAAATAGTATGTGGGGATTTACAAATCGCTTGCATCGTTTCACAAAATAAATATCTCATGTCAAATACTAGATAAGCACCTAAGTTATTTCTGCTGAATCCTATTTTGATAATAGTGACAATGAACACAAGGCACTTGGGACCTCAGCTGCCAGTGTTGTTAGCTGCCACAGTGTCAGCCTTGAACTCGTGGGGACCCCATGCAAAAGAGAACGAACACTGCCTGGTCCTGTACCTTCCCCATCAGTTGTGGCTTGGATCATTGTTATCCATTGGGTTTTCACTGGCTGATTTTCTTATCACCAGGTCTTTCTTCCTAGTTTTAAAGCCCTGGCGAAATCTTCTCAGCATCACAGCAGCGAGCCTCCACTCAGGACAGGCAGTGGCTGTGCATGACGTGCATTTGGAGTTCTACCACTGAATTACCGAAGTCTTATCTGCCAATAATGGCTTTCACTACCCCATTGCTGTGGATCAGCACATTCGGTAGTCCTGACCATACCCTTTTAAAGTGGTGGTGGTTAGCTGCCAGTCGAATTGATTCCGACTTACAGCGACCTCGTATGAATGAGTAGAATTGCCCAACAAGGTTTCGTAGGCTGTTATCTTTTCAGGAGGTCGCCAAGTCTTTCTGCTGCAGAGCAGCCGGGCGGGTTCTAATCAGTAAGCCTTTGGATTAGCAGCCCAGCACTTAACTGTTGCACCACCAGGGCTTCTTTTATATAAGGTTAAGTACTATTTGTCTCACGTACTTTGGACACGTTACCAAGGAGGGACCAGTCCCTGGAGGACATCATGCTTGGTAGAGGATGAGTGAAAAAAGAGGAAGACCCTCAACAAGATGGACAGTGGCTCCAACAATGGACTCAAAACACAGCAACGATTGTAATGGTGCAGGACAGCAGTGTTTTGTCTGTTGTTCAGAAGGTTGCTATGAGTCAAAAACGACTCAACAGCACTTAACAGGTGCTATTATCCTCAGTCCACATTTGAGTCTCTGAAATTTAGAATTGGGCAATCCTGCCCTACAAAGGCTCCAGCTGAAACCTTTAATCACCTTGTAATCCTGTTAATTTGGGGTGCCTTCAGTTATCAGGAGCCTGGGTGGCGCAGTAGTAAAGAACTTGGCTGTTAACCTAAAGTTTGGCAGTTCGACTCCACCAGTCACTGCTTGGGAACCCTGTGGGCAATTCTACTGTCCTGTAGGGTTGCCTGTGAGCCAGAATCGACTCCATGTCAGTGGGCTTTTCTTTTTCCAGTTACTCAATACCCAGGCATCAAAGGCCTCATTACTTGTTCGTCATCAAGCGTTGCCTTACACTTAGCTGATGCGTATTTCACGTGAGCCCAGCAGCATAATGGGGATAATTTTTAGTGACTGGGTAATTGTTTAGATGCCTAATTTGTACCCAACCTGTGCATAAAATCTACTTCTTCACAACCACCCTGTGGCTGTCAGCTGGTCAGGTTAACTGAGCAGATTAATCAGCCCGAAGCATCGGACGCTTGCTTGGCCAAGTATTCAAGTAAGCAGTTTGTCATGCGTGGTAGTTTTTGTAAATAGGTCGTGGCTACACCTTGGCCACATGAGTTAAGCACAACTGGCAGCTCAAGACGGAAGCCAGTTCCTGCCAAGCACCCCATGCCCTAAGAAACTGCTCAAAACCCAAGTCTCAACCCCGCCCGCCTCTCAGCAGAGACCATCCCATGCCGCGTTAAACTGAAACTGCATGTCTCTTTCAGGGTGACGGCTCAGGACACACGGTGCCGTTATAGCGCGCCCTTGTGCAACTCGGGGAGGGTAGAGTATCGGGCACACACGCAGAGCACAATAAGCAGCAGAGCCTACTATCCCCACCCGTTTCCCTAAGACATCTCACCTCTGGGTTTTAGGATTGAGGCCTAAATCCTAACAACCTCCTGAGAAACTTCACATCCTCCCTCTCCCAGCGGCCTGCTTGGACCGCCGCCGTGTCGCTCGCGGTTAAAAGGGCCGTCCTCAGAGAGCTGGCGGCCCCAGTTATGCGTGAGCACATGCTCTGGCGCTGCAGCTTAACCCCTGGCGCCACATGCAGGCGCGGCGGGGGCTCAAAGGCAGCGCGTCGCCGACAA